TCTAACACACATCACTGCTCATACTTCTCTCTGATCATGTTACTGATGAGTCTTTGGTTGTTCCTGTAGGCTGTATGTGCATCAGTATTGTATACCATTTCCTTCATGTGCATAGGGCTAAAATTGTAATTTAAACTGGAATTTTACTCCCATTTTTGGCTTATGCAAATGCTTATGAGGATAGCACAGTAATGTTACTCTTGCTGTGCATCCTGATTCCTCAGGTAAGCAAGATAATGTATAAAACCTGTGAAAATTTCCATAACTCTTGATGTATGTCCACACACTTTAACCTGCACATCCATTACTTGGCCATCTAGTAAAATTTTGAACAGAAAACTTTTTACTATTAATTCAGGAGAAAGATTCATCTGGGAAATTGGAAATAGATAAATGGATAGATGCTATCCATAATTTTAGTTTAAATAAAGAAAGATTTAAATGCTTTTTTTGGGAAAGTGATTATTTGAAGGCTATAAAAATAAACTGTAAATGGACCTGCTAGCAAAAAGTAAATGATAATGTGCCTTTTACTGAGAAAAATTATCCAAAATTTCATACAATATTCCCAGGGTTTGACCGCAGCAATTTAAGAAACGAATGTATTCATCATATTAACCTTTCTGGCAAATAGGCATAGCAAATTAGTGTCCTGCCCCAGAATTATTTATTCATAATAGATTAATATACTTTCTAACCGTGAGACATTCATGGGTAGTCTGAAAGAATTCAGATTTGATGGTTACTGTGTTGACCTGTTCCAAATGTAGCTAGCCTAATTAAAACCCAAGACCCCTCAAGTCTGTCAAAATATTGCTTGTTATTTATGATGCAAAGCAAAATAAATGGATTACATAATTTGATTAGCAACTAGTGTTTTGAGGTCATGTTCTGCATGAAGCCAGCAGCATACTAAGAAAACAGGACTCTAAAACCAAGAAAATACTATTACTTGACAAATGTTCCAAAATAATTGTTTTTAATGCACTGGCCATCTCTCACTAAAGCCGGTGACCTGAAAAGAAAATAAAAGTTTTTTTCTTTTTCTTCTTCTTCTTTCAACAAACTGGCGTATCCCACCAAAGCAGGGTGGCCCAAAAAGTAAAGCGAAAGTCTCTTTTTTTAAACCCAAGTAATTATACAGGAAAAGGGGTTACTAGCCCTTGCTCCCCGCATGTTTAGTCACTCTTATGACAAGCATGGCTTACAGAGGAAGAATTCTTCTCTACTTTCCACTAAGTAATAATATTTTTATTTTATAAATATAGTTATGTTTATCTCTTATATACTAGAGTTCTTTTAAAAAGCCTAATTCCACTCACTATTTTGGGCAAGTTTCATCTAACAGTTTTTGGAAATTGGGTTAGTTAATTATATTAACAATTCATTGGCATGTAATAACAAAAATGGCCAACTTTATTTTTATTAAATCTGAAAAAAATATTTTGTAGCTGAAGCTACATTAACAAAAAGCACTTATTACATTTGTACAATGGAATGGCTTCCAAGATATAAGACCTCGAGCTTCCCCTGCTGCTGTAGCTAAAATAGACTATTACATGAATGCTTTTCATATGTTTTAGAAATATAATACATGTATATATGATGTTTACACCATTAGGAAGTGGGGGCAGAATTCTTTCCTCCGTATGCCATGCATGTCATAAGAGGCAACTAAAATGCCTGGAGCAAGGGGCTAGTAACCCCCTTCTCCTGTAAATATTTTTGTACTAAATTTAAAAAGGGAAACTTTTGTTTTTCTTTTTGGGCCATGCTCCCTTTTGGTGGGATATGGTCATTTGTTGGAAAAAACAAAATTATTATAATAAAAAAGTTAAGAAGTTGGTCTGCTAATTCTAAAATAAAAAAGCAATGTGGCAGATGTTGCAAGTATAATATGGAATAGGTAGTAAGTTATTAAATACTGTAAAGATTTTTTATGAGGATAGTGAGGCTCAGGTTAGGGTCTGTAGGAGAGAGGGAGATTACTCCCCAGTAAAAGTAGGTCAAAGACAGGGATGTGTAATATCACCAGGGTTGTTTAATATTTTATAGATGGGGTTGTAAAAGAAGAAATGCTAGGGTTTTGGGGGAGAGGGGGGGAAATTAAAATTATGGAGACTCAAATACAGAATGGGAGTTGACACAGTTACTTTTTGCTGATGATACTGTCTTATGGGGGATTCTAAAGAAAAGTTGCAAAGGTTAGTGGATGAGTTTGGGAGTGTGTTGGGAAAAGGGAGAAAGTTGAAAGTGAACATAGATAAGAGTAAGGTGATTTAGGGTATCAAATGATTTTGATAAAAAAAAATGGATACACATTGGAGAGAGGGATTATGGAAGAAGTGAATTGTTTTCAGATATTTGGGAGTTGACTTGTTTAGCAGATGGGTTTATGAAGGAAAGAGGTTAACCATGAATTGATGAAAAAAAAAGGTGAGTGGTGCGTTGAGGTGTCTGTGGAGACAAAAAAAACGTTATTCATTGAGGGAAAGAAGGAATGTAACGATAGTGGTAAACCAACACTTTTTATGGGTGGTGAAGCTTGGGTTGCAAAGCTGCAGCAGTGAGGAGGCGGCTTTGAGGGGAGTGGCGATGTCCTGTCTAAGGGCAAAAGTTGGTGGAAATATTATGCAGAAAAATTCGGAGTGTGGAAATTAGGAGGAGGTGTGAAGTTACTAAAAGTATTAGTCAGAGGACTGAAAAGGGGTTGTTGAGGTGGTTTGGTCATTTAGCGAGAATGGATCAAAGTAGAATGACTTGGAAAACGTATAAATCTGTTGGGGAAGGAAGGCAGGGTAAGGGTCATCCTTGAAAAGGTTG